ACAAGATCAAATTTCAGATAGCCAAAACTTGAATTGTACATCATCCATCATATCACAAAAAGCACAAACATCACTAGAAGAAGGTGAATGAATGAGTTACAGAGATGATCTTAATAGAAAAAGAACAAACTTATTTGAGGAAGAATACAAACTAAATATGGTTAAAATAGATTTATTTCTTACAAAACCCACAATACACAATGGGACCGTTTGCTATAGCTTTTGAGGGGTGATTATAGATTATTTTGAATTGGGAGTCTGTGCAAGACTATTTGGTACAGCTTCTGCTTATAGTTTATTAGGCAGAAATAGCTTAAATAAACTGAAAAAAGCTGATTATTTGAAAGCTGAGGTAGGGGTGCTTTTAGCTTCTGCTTTCTGATTATCAGCTTTTAACTTAAAAAAAGTTTCACCAAATAGGGCCAATGATTGCTAGAAACTTTATAGTACGTACAATGGTTGGAAAGGAGTACGCTTTACATTTTGCTATATAAACCAATCATATATACACAAAACACCATAAAACAGCAAAGAAAATCAGCTACCTATGACTGATAGAATTACATAGGAATATTCTATATTGGAATTGTCTAAAAAACAATAGGAATCAATAATCGACACACAAAACAACATGAATAAAGAAAGGACAGTAAGACTAACATAATAACATAACACAGTAGACAATGCAGAATTGTTGTTCTTACAATATTTTATAACACAACTATGTGAAGAAAGAAATCAATGCTCAGCCAGGAAAATACAAAACTTTGATTCCAAATTATAAATCAGCTAGATTCAACAGCTTAAAATACCTTCAAGACCAACGTTTGATCATTTAAAATCTTTAAGGTCCTCAAAGCCAAAGGGTTGGACTAATTGGTCAATTAGAACAACATTTCAATTAGAATATGTAATGCACATGGTAGTTAGAATATGTAATGCACATGGTAGGTGAATATTATTAATACTAAACATTCAGAAGGGGTGGAAAACGATGCATGTTGACCAGTTTACAAATGTTTAGTGCTATCTTTAAGTTATGGTTTTGCTACTCACACTCTGCTCAGATGTTTTAAAGCTAAACCTAATATGGCACATGCCGGCCCACAAAGATATATGTGCACGTGATTTGCTTAATTTAATTGTATCAAGAGACATTAGTTTACTAATGTTGGTTATATTGTGTTTTATTCGTGGTTGGTTGTTAAAATCGAAATTATGCGCTGGATCAATGAGAGTCTCGTGGATCAGATCGTAAGATCAGATCTGGGATCATCGGATTAGATCCTGGGATCATAGGATCAGATCGGGAATCGTAAGATTTTATTTTCTACAATACATGTGGGATCAGATCGGGAATCGTAAGATTTTATTTTCTATAATACATATATAAAAATACCTACAGATGATGAATATTAAAAATTGGTGAATAATCAAGAAGCAAGCAATCCAACATGATTCCACTTGCAATTCTACTATAATACCAATTTTACAATAATTTGAATTGCTTTGAAAATTTAGGATCGTAGCATCGTAGTCCAGATTGAAATTTTGGTAACCATAGTTTTATTGAATACTTTCAAAATAATTTATTGTGATATTTATCTCTTGACTACGTGACAAAATGAGTCAATACACTCAATTAATCACATGTGCGCCAAGCAGGTGTGATATCATGTAAAAATAATTAACTCCATAGTCAATTTGAAGTGATGTCAACTAATCTCACTAGTTCAACGATTAATGCTTTAAAATGATAGTTAACATATTTTGTGGAGGCAAATAGAATTTTTCCCCAACTTTGCTACATAAACCCTACTGAAACAATCAACTTTTCTACCAACCACACACGTGTGTAGTTGTTTGGTAAGATATCTATCAAGTTTTCACTTTTTCTCTACAAAAAAAATCCAAAATCTTAGCACAGTAAATCCAATTCAATATGAGAAAATTCGACATGCAGATTAAGAATCACAAAATCGGATCTCGCAGATTTCACGATCAAGCTTATCGATCACTTGGAAAACAGTATTTCAAGGCAAACACAGTCTCCAAAATTCATTTTCGAGATAAAATAATCGATTTGCATGCTCTGAATTAGCAAAAAAATAGTTCAAAAATCAAAAAAACTACTAGCGAACAATGTAAAATCAAGTGCATATATAGAATTACAGATCCATAGATCTACTACTACTACTACTACTACTTGTACGAAGAACTGTTGAGAGTAGAATCAAATCGAACATTGATCGAAACTTGAAAATGAAGACTACACAGTTCGAAGTGAACAGTAAGAGAATAAGCGGCTGCTGAAACCCTAAGAGAGAGAGAGAGAGAATCTACCTGAGAGAGCAAATGCAAATGCTATAGTATAGTGCAGACGCAGAGGCTTTCAGATGAGGCAGAATCTGAGGTGAAAAGGATCGGACATTTATAGCAGAAAAATAAACAAAAGAATAAAAAAATTGTTAAAGATGCGTTAATGGAACGGTAAGGATGCACTTGTGGGCGCTGATAAAAAATAAAAATAAAATAAAATAAAAAGGATGCACCTGTGGCCCTACTCCATTCTGAAAAAGGTTGGACAAGTGACAGCGACTATTTTCACTCTATTTTATTCTAAATATATTTTTTTATTTAACTTATTGTGATAATTAAGAAAAAATTAATTTATTTGAATTATATTATTTTTTTATTTTTTCATATTTAAAAAAAAATTAAAAAGGTGACTTTTTTTTTTTACTTTCCAAAATAGACATTTGTCTTTATTATATATAATTATATTAATATTCTTTCACACAAAAGATAGAAGTCTAAAAACAACTTGCAATCTGAGATGGGTCCGACCTGTTTAGGCTTGTATGAGCCCAAGCCCAGCCTGACCTCCTGGGCCATCATTTTGAAGCCCGGCCCGTGGCCTAATCCATCAACTTGCTTAAGGCCCACTCAATGCCCGAACCGAGGCCCAGTATATTTTTAAGTGAAAATAATAAAATTTTAATTAAAAAAAATTTAAAAATTAACTATCATTCAAGAACCACTACTTCCTTAGAAAAATTATTTGTAATAGACATCCCTCATTCATACCTCTTCATTTTATTGGAAACCCATCAAACCAATTTCATAAAACCCATCTATATAGTTAGACAAAGAAATTCATAGAATCATTTAATAGAAAGAGACCCATTTCATTTCATAGAAATCCAGTTCAAAACCATTTCGCATAAATCAAAACCATATGACAAGAGTCATCATGCCTATTATTTGAAGAGTGCTCCAGGAGAAAGGCCATGCTAGTACCTTTAATTAAAAAAAAAAAAAAAAGGCCCCTATAAAATTTTGAAATACTGTGATAAAAGCAAAGGGCATTCCCTTGGTTTTGAATTTTAAAAAATAATTTTTGAATATCTTTACTTTACTTGTTTTTAGATATATCTAATTTAGGTATGTTCGTCAAAAATAAAATATTTATGATGTTTTTTAAATAAAAAAAATCAATAAATACAAAGAAATAAGAAAATGTAATAATTTTTTATATTTTTTTAGTATTTAGTGAATTTTAAATATATTAAAAAAAAGAAATTCATAGATTTTGTAGATTAATTGTATCTAAAAAGTATAAAAATATATATATATATATTAAAAATATTCATTAAAAACAAAAAAAATGCAAATTTTAAATTTACAAATTATTGTTAAAAACTCAAAAACTAGACAGAGTGATTACTACTCGTTTGTTTTTTTTTGATTTTTTGTTTTGTTGCAGGAAAATCCTCCCTACCCTCCTGCAGGTCCAAGGCAGAGATTGGCCCAAGGGAGAGGGGAATTGAACCTGTGACCTTGGGATATAAACCCCAAGCCTTAACCACAATGCCACCCACCCCTGCGTTATTACTCGTTTGTTATTATTTGTATTATGTGTTTTAAGAAATTTTAAAAGAAACAATTGAAAGAAAATTTATAGTTCCAATTATGAATTATTGAAGTAAAAGAGATGCAATGTGTACTAACGTTCTTGTTAATGCTTTAATTTGATAATATAACTGTAACATTAATTTTATTCGCTAATGTTTTGTTCAAATTACTAAAAAGACATATAATTGAATGATCATTATTATAATCGAATAATTATTTTATTTTATTATAATACATTAAAGAATATTTAATTGGTTGAATTGATATTGTACGGGGAAGAAATAAGTTTCCTCGTATAATCTTGTTGATTAAGTCCACGCTTCTCCGTACGACGTCGCTTTGTCACCTGAAAACACAAACGTGAGCTAGCCGGCGGGTGTGTGCCGGAAACCTCTCCGATGCCTAAGTCAGAAAACTTGACAAATAGACAAAGCTCTAAGTTCTCAGAAAGATTGTAAAGCATACTGGGCATGAAGGTGATGCTTGTGAGCTTTTATAAATTAGGTGTTCGAGTGGCCCAATCCCTAGTAAGACTTTATTCTTTCCATGCAGAGTCCCCTAGGATTTCCAATCACTCCCCAAGGATAATGCTTTATCCTTTACACCCTCACTGCTTACAGTGGGATGTTCTCCACACCCCTACGCCGACACATTTGATCCGAGTAAACTGGCTAAGCTGAGCCATGAGGTAGCCGAACTATCCTTATTTCAGCCCTTCCTTTTACTCCTCATATCGGTTCTCCTTGCGATAACCATGATATGTTGGGACCGAGCTACCAGTAGCAAGGTATTGACCGATCTATCCAGGATACGTCATGACCGGACTAACTCGAAGACCGGACTAACTCAAGTTGTCCAAACCGAAGTAGCTTTACAATTCCTGAGCCGAAAGTAACTTCATCTCTTTGACCGAAAGTAACTTTATTTCTCATGGGCCGGAGTAACTTCTCGGCCCATTTTACCCAGTCCTTCGTACTTTGGGCCATAAAGTCCTTTCATAGCTCGGCCCAATTTTCTCCAAAAATTACCCTCTCAATGGCCCCTTAATTCCATCTGCACAGCATGATTGGGATTACCTAGTGACCAGCCGAGCTAACGTCTATAAGCTTTTCCAACCGAACTAAAAAATCACGCAGCATCTCCAACCGAGCTCATTTTACTCCGGCTCTACACGTTCGGTCAAAACGTCTCTTCAATCACTGACTGTAACGCTTCACTTTCCAATGACACGTGGCAGGCTCTGATAGCTGTGAGAGCATGTCACGCCGCCCTCGTACTACCGAAAATTTTGACAGTTCCCGCTTTTTTTTCCCTCTCTCCTTTTTCAACAAAACAGTCCTTTCATCTTTGGATCATTCACCTATTCTATACATCTTCTCTCTTCGTGTCTCTACTTTTCCAACTACTAAGCTCGTGTTCATTTGTCGTTACTATTTCCATCTCCAGTCCTCTTTTTCTTCATCTTTGGTAAGCAAATCTACTTTCCTTCCTGTTTTTGCTTTCGTATCTGCTCTATGCATTTGGTTACTGTATTTTTTGCAAAAACATGTTCTTCCATTTCTGCTCGCTTCTGTACTTCATGAAAAAAATTAGTAGAACTCATGCGTGTATGAACTATTCTGTAGAAAACTAGTCTTGGATCCAAAAATCATGTAGCACCGAACTAGGTACTGTTTGTCCTATATAGGTAGATCACTTTAGATAATAACCGAACTAGAACTCCAGAAATCAGTATTTTCAGTTAGGGTTATAAACTCCTGAATAACTCTAGTCGAGATAATCCCACCGAACGAAGTTTGACTTTAATAAATAAGGAACCTCGGTCTCAACCGAGCAAGCTTTTGGGGTTAAGCCAGCTTTCCTAGTTTCTAAACCAAACTCAGAAAGCTGCCCCTAGAGGCTCAACTGAAATAACAAAACTCCTAGTTCAACCGATTTAGGCCTTTGGGGCTGAACCAGCTTTTCTTAGTTTTTTTAGACCGAACTCAGAAAGCTGCCCCTAGACGATGAACCAGTCTAACAAAATTGTTTCCAAAGCCAGTATGCCGAGAGCTGCCAAGATTTGGCTAATAAGAACCTTGCTCAAACCGAGCTACCAAGCGTTTTGCTGACGAGATAGAACCCGTCCATAAAGCCGAAGTAGGACTTTTTTACCTCGTTTAATTTGAGCACGTCCAATGATCTGTGCTAACCGTGTTTTCTTACTTTGCAGACTTAGGTTTGCCCAGGCACTCCTGCGTGCGCTCAACCGAGCTACTGAGCACAATATTTGCACCGAAATAACTTATTCTTAAATTATACGATAGATGGGGAAGTATAGATACCTAGTAATACTCCGGGCGGCCTAGCCGGAATTCAGGAAAGACTACCAAATACCTGATGGCGTTCCATCTGGCTTGTCCTTTGAGCCAAAAAGACGTCATTCCCTGGGCAAATGAAGGCTTCGTCCCTTCACCCTTTTATCCATTATAGAGACCGGACTACGGTTTCCCAGTCCAGCCATGATTTGCGAGTTCCTTAGGAAACCAGACTATGCCCAACCTAACTCTCTACTAACTCCCTACCGCATTCATTATGGGAATTGCCGAACTGAACCGTCAAGCCGGACTAAACCTTGGCCTGGCCGAAATCTTCCATCAATATTCCATTGGCTCAAAAGAGGATGGATGGGTTTATTACCTTAGAATACGTCGCCGCCGCCGAGAGAAGATAATAAAATATACACCGGACAAAGGACTTAAACGACGACGATTTTTCTGGGTCTCTGGGAACTTTGAGGACTTTCAAGCCCAAAATTCCTGGCCGACCTATAAATGGGAAAAAATGAGAGCCCAGTAATTTAACTTCGGTCTTCTTCCTTGCATTTTTTACTTCGGCTTTTTAATGTTTCAGCCGGACTAACAGTTGTCTTTTCTTGCAGATTTTACCCACCTTCACTCTCTATACAGTTATCCAACCTTGCAACTTTGCGAGCCGCACTACGATATCCTGAACGTAGCTGGCCAAATTGCTGCAAATTCGAGCCGATACACTATCGATATACGCGGGGGTCGCGCGGGCAGGCGGAGAAGCCAGAGTAACTGACTTCTTCTGAAGACGCCCCAGAATCGGGAGAGCCCTCCACATGGCAGTGCAGACCGAGGTTAGACACTAGATCTCACTTACAACGCTGAGAAAGATGGGCAACAAGAGAACAGAGTCAGGGCGTGTTTGACCCGGACGACAACTCAGGCCCGAGTTAACGCCACCCGCAGCCAAATCGCAGTCTGCTGGTGAAGTTGCCCTCCCTTTCGTCGACAGCCGTCCTCTTCCGCGCCCTAGAACCAATGCGTCGCCTCGGAAACTGCGCGAACCGAACAAGTTTTGTTGATGGGAAAAGAACCTGCGCTTCACGAGACTTACCACCAAGCCCCAACCGGAGCCTTTCTGATCCCGAACTATCGGCAGTCTGGGCACCAAAACTTACTTTTCAACGACCGAAGGGAAACATCCGAGACAGACAGACTCGGGTTGTTGCAGGATGAAAAGCATAGCTGTTGGCCGTCATCTAGCCAAGAGTGTGTGTTCTGGCCCAAGGCGAGACAT